AAGAGCCGGCGGGAGCCTCGCGGCTGAGCTGCCGGCTGCTTCCTGCCCCTCCAGGGCGCGTGTCACTCAGCGGGGTCTCCTGCCCGCCTACCACCCTCGGGTCTGCTTGGGCTGCATGTCGGGGTGGTGGTTTTCATAGCCAAGGATCAAATAACAGGCCAGGTTTGGAGCAGCTGAATCCCGGGGGGGTCCTGCCACAGGGGACAGATGTGGAGGGGTGTTAGCCCCGGGCCTGCCGCCTTTTCTGGTGGGGGCCAGGAGCTCTAGTCACAGCCCGGGGGGACTGTGTTGTGGTAGGCACAGCGTAGCTTTCCAGTCTGCCCTGTTCATATCTCTTCAGTTTCTCTCTCCTCCACCGCAAGCTTTTCCTTTGCCATCACATGACTTCAAGGCTGTCTAGTTTCCTGGGCTGTCAGCATGGCTTTTTCTGTTCCCTTTGATCTAGCAGTGAGGCTTGCCTTCCAGCCCTCCCTCCAGCTGCACAGTGCTTTTCCATGTGTCATGCTTGTGTATAGCGCTTGCCTTCAGCATATTTACTAACAGCACTAAGGGGTCTCCTGTGGCAGTCTTCCCAAAGACACATTTCTGCAGTCATTTTTTAAAATGAAATACCGTTTATCTAAAAGGATGTGGCTAGTTGGATAGGCCCAGTATTGCTCTCAAGAGGAACACTTGGAACATATAAAGATAAGAAAAACTGTACAAGAAGCCATTTCTGACCTCATTATCACTTTGTGTTTGCATGGGCAGTCAGAAGACACCTGCAACATGAGGCAGTGGCATTTACATCCTGCTCCTGCCCTGCTGCCAGAACTGCTGGTGAAACACCCACCACCAATACACGGCTGCCACAGAGCGTGCCCACCCGTATGCTTCTGGTGGTGATGGCTCTGCATGGCTTCACCCAGCAGCTCTGCTGCTGAACTATGATGTGCGCTTCATGGGGGCACCTGCTGCTGAATGAGCTGTGGCAGGTAGATGAGGCATAGCCATGTCTATCAGGATTTCAACGAGCTGTCAGGTGGCAGCAGAAGTCTTACTGAGCTAGTAGCTCTGCTGGTACAAAAGAGGGGTCTGAGAGCAGAATAAAGCTGCACAGTGTAGCCTTGGAGTAATATTCCTGCCCATCTGCCCCAAACAGAGACTCAGGCAGTAGCAGTGGCAGCAAAGCAAGTGGAAACTCAGTGCAGAGGAAATAACTGTGTGCAAAGAAACAGTTCTGGAGCACGTGCCTGGCTGAAACCCTTGCCAGCGCTGCTAGTGGAAAGCTCCAAGCGCATGCTCTTCCCTTGCATGCGAGGATGTGGGCACAGGTCACCCGTCTTTCTCTGAGACATCCTGTTTTCAGCAGGAATTGAGGCGAGGCAGTTTCCATCACATGCACTGTGGCTAGGATGATATTCCTGTCTGAGGGCTGAGCTAGAAAGGGCCAGCTGTGAAACAACAAATACAATCCTGCCACATCAGTGAAATGCAGCCGTGTCTGGAGGGGAGCACATCCAAGCAGAGCAAAGCTATGCACTAATTTAGGCCAGGAAGTGAAAAATAAATAAAGTTTCTAGTTGAAACTGCAGTGGATCACCTTACTTGTGAGACAATTTCAAATTATTTTCCTGCTTAGTGCTGAGTGCAAGACCCTTGCTTGTGTGACAGTGTGTAAGCGCCATGTACACTAATACAGGGTTAATGGATTGCTAAGGGCTCAATTAGTTCACCTTGTTACACCTGCAGACTTGTCCAAAGGTAGTGGGTTGTCACCCTGAAGGGTATGATTGTCGGGCTCATTTCAGCCTGACATTTCATCAAGGGCGGGGGACACTAGGTGGTTGCCGTTAAGAAATAACATAAGCTCCCTGCTTTTCTGCAATGGTAAAGGATGTCAGTCGCTTGACATCCCAGTTCCCTCCTCCTGGGAAAGGGATTCACGAGTAGGGACAAGAAGTAAAGGTATTTCCAATGGTGATTAGTATTAGTAAGTGACATTGGACCCCAGCAGGTGATCCTGTGGGTCAGACTCCCACAGATGAAGTCAGAGATGGTCTCAAATCTACCTTGGCAGGTGTCAATTAAGTTTTGTTTTTTTAATTCCTGCCAGGCAATTCTAGAGGGAAGCTAGGAGCTGCTGCTGTGAAACAAGAGTGGAGCCTTGAAGGGATGGAAGATGTTCCACGGAGGATCTGTATTGTGCTACATCATCTGTTTGGACTACGGATGTCCTGACCGGGGATGGATTTTAGGGGGAGATGATTGGAGAGTCCAGTAACAACACCCCAACACCACCACCGCCAATAGAGGACTTGGGTCATCCTGGAATAGTGACAACTCCTAGTCTCTTTATCCATTTCACTAAGGCTCTCCTTGCCAAATAGGCCTGTCCCTGAGTGCAGATGCACAAATCTCTGCAGATTAATACAATTCATCCAGTTTTGGCTTTGGATAGGAGCTGAAACTCACCCTCCACTGAGTAGAGAAGCAATAATCATTGCATCACAGAGACCTAAATGGAAAAAATATCCTACTAGTGCACACCCTAAGGTTTGGAGCAAAGGTCATATCATAGACTTTTGTGCCAAGCTTTTTTGTGTTAGCAGGCCTGAATTGCATGATAAAACCTCACCAGTGCTGGGAGAATAACATGAGACAACTGTAATGTCAATACTACCTTTTACACAGCATGTCAACAGATCACAAAGCACTTTATATGGGGCATCAGCATCTTGCCCCCAGCATACAGATGAGGAAACTGAGGCACAGAGCAGTGAAATTGCTTGTCTGAGGTAACTGAGCAGCCAAGTGGAAAAGCCAGGACTAGAACCAAAATCAACTGAGAGTCAATCCGCAGTCCAAAACGCTATTCAGTGTTAACATTGATGTCCTGGCTGCATTCAGCACCAAGCTATAGATTCATAGAAGTTGGGTCAGAAGGGACCTTGTAGATCTTCCAGTCCAACCCCCTGCCTGGGCAGGAGAAAACTGGGCTCAAATGACTCCAGCCAGGTAGGCATCAAGCCTCTTCTTAAAGACCCCCAGGGTAGGAGCCAGCACC